GCCTAACCTATGGCCTAATACACCTTCCCTATGACCTAATCATTTTCGCGTTTTAGGAATACAATCTTTTCTTTTCCCACACGGAAATGATTAGGTCATAGGGAAGGTGTATTAGGCCATAGGTTAGGCCATAGGATAGGTCATAAGGAATCCATTAGGCCATATGAAAAAACGAGGTTCCGGACACTTTCTGCCACAGGAACCCATTGGGCCATATGGAAAAACGAGGTTCCGGACACTTTCTGCCAGAGGGAATCCATTAGGCCATATGGAAAAACGAGGTTCCGGACACTTTCTGCCAGAGGGAATCCATTAGGCCATATGGAAAAACGAGGTTCCGGACACTTTCTGCCAGAGGAATCTGTTAGGCCATGACGTCGCGATGCTCGCAGCCTCTTCTGCTCCGTGTGAGTGACAAGATGAGTTTCCAACTCCGCATGTTTCCAGTCGGACAGTAGGCTTGCTGGGGATGCGAGAGCTTCCTCCAGACGGTAGGGGTTGGCAGGGTTCACAGACGCGACGTCATAGACTGTTGTGTTGCATGTACGGACCCCCCCCCCCCCTCCATTTCAATGATGTCGTCTGCTCGGAGGTGCGTGTCGTCTGCTTGCGCAGGGCTTTGTGGCCGTGCTGCTCCAAACATTGAGATTTGGGGGAGGGGGATGTGCCGCGGTGGCCTTGTCGGCGTGCCGGTGTCACAGCAGTACAACCGTTTCTGATGGTCAGGTTCTTGTCCGTTCGGAGGTCAGTGGCTTAAAATCTGGTCTTGTTCCAGCTACCCTCCCAATGCGTAGTTTCTGGGGACACATGGTGGTTCCCCCTCTGTATCGAGAAGGTCGGCGGATGCTACGGATTTTGAGAAATGCACTTAACTGCGGGACCCCCCCATTGCAAAACGGGGTTGCATCTTCATCTCCGTCAAATCTGTTGCTCTTTAAGTCAGTTCCATCATGTAATCGGAGTCTGGGATTGCTTCATGGTTGCTTGTCTCTTTTGGAACTTGCAGACTCGAGGTGCATGTTGCTGTCAAAAATCCACCTCTATGGCCTCAGCAGGCCTCAAGCGCCCGCAAGTGAAGCCTCGAAGGCCTTTGTGAAAGTGGTCAGCGCAGGCGGCTCCAAATGTGGGGTCGAATAGTCTGAGCAATTTTAGCTTCGCTTGAGTGGCCCCCCTCTGTGCGCGCTTCTCTCATGTTAATCACTTCCACAAGCACGTGTCTGTGGAAATTTCTGGTTCTTGGAGAGTCTTTTTCACACTGGATGCCTGCCGTGAGCGGGTCGCCTCGGTGTGTAGCAGTCTGGAATGCAGGGGCTTGGGCTTGGGCTTGGGCCCCAGAATGAAGGAATTCGCGACCCCAAAATGGGGGCCGCCACGCGGCCCCAATTTTGGGTCCTCTATAGTTCCCAGTCAAATATATTAGAGGAGGTTGGCTGCATTTCGCGGCTCCTTTTCTGGGGCCGCGAGACGGCCCCATTTTTGGGGTCGCAAGTTTGATCCCTGCACCCACAGCGGCTGAATCTCGTCGGCTGCGCATGTCATGAGGTAAGTTTGGGGAACGTCTGGTGGAGGACCGTTTGGAAGGTCGGGGCTTGTCCAAAGCAGCTGTGTGCTTGCCCTTGTTGCTGCTGCTGCTGCTGCAGCCAGCGGAATGCAACTGTGGAGGGCCGACCTGGCGAAGCCAGAATTGCTTGTGTTTTGCGGGCCTGGAAATGGGGTCGCCCGACAGCCCCATAACGTGGGCTTCGTCCTGGCAGTGCAGCGGGCTCGCCAGTTGACCCGCGCGGATTTTTGGTGTTCTTTCTGTGGATGGGAGTCGTAGTTCAAGCTCTGGGAAGTTGACCGACGTGGCTTCAACGTTTCCCTTTTGGTTTTGCAAACTCGTCGGCCAGACTATGCAGCTTTATGGAGGTAACCAAAACAGAGATCGTACAAAGACAGGGAAATTTTTCCAGAGGTGACTCCAGCGTTTCTGAATACAGCAGATCAAGCCATGCAGACTCTCTGTACTGCACAGGAACTGTGATGTGTCTTCGCAAAGTCTGCTGGAGCCTGGTCTAGGTTTCCAAACCATCGCCACAGTAGTCTTCTGGAGTTCTAGCATTGTGTCCTTGCGGATGGGCCATGTTCATCTTCTTTCTGTTCGTGGCTCGACGTTGTTGTGCTTTCGCCCTCCTCTGATCATATGGAGAACTCCTTGGTGGATCGCGTGGAGCGACTCATAAGCAGGAACGAAAAGCTTTGAATGCTGCCAAAAAGGAGGCCACCAGCCATATTCATCTTCTTTCTGTCTTTCAAAACGCCTTTAAAGGCTGCCTGCTTGGGTTTGCTGATGGCCTATGGGTTCCCAGGCCGAAGGAGCCTGGAGTGTCGTTTCTCTATCTGCCTACTGGATGTCCTCTGCGTAGCAGGACCTGTCCGGAACTTTCTGGCCTAATGGATTCTCTCTGGCAGAAAGTGTCCGGAACCTCGTTGTTCCTTATATGGCCTAATCGATTCCCTGTGGCAGAAAAAATCAGGAACCTCGTTTTTCCATATGGCCTAATGGGTTCCCTCCGGCAGAAAGTGTCCCGAACCTTGTTTTTCCATATGGCCTAATGGATTCCCTATGGCAGAAAGTGTCCGGAACTTCGTTTTTCCATATGGCCTAATGGATTCCCTCTGGTAGAAAGTGTCAGGAACCTCGTTTTTCCATATGGCCTAATTGATTCCTGTGGCAGAAAGTGCCCGGAACATCGTTTTTTTATATGGCCTAATGGATTCCTTATGACCTATCCTATGGCCTAACCTATGGCCTAATACACCTTCCCTATGACCTAATCATTTTCGCGTTTTAGGAATACAATCTTTTCTTTTCCCACACGGAAATGATTAGGTCATAGGGAAGGTGTATTAGGCCATAGGTTAGGCCATAGGATAGGTCATAAGGAATCCATTAGGCCATATGAAAAAACGAGGTTCCGGACACTTTCTGCCACAGGAACCCATTGGGCCATATGGAAAAACGAGGTTCCGGACATTTTCTGCCAGAGGGAATCCATTAGGCCATATGGAAAAACGAGGTTCCGGACACTTTCTGCCAGAGGGAATCCATTAGGCTATATGGAAAAACGAGGTTCCGGACACTTTCTGCCAGAGGAATCTGTTAGGCCATGACGTCGCGATGCTCGCAGCCTCTTCTGCTCCGTGTGAGTGACAAGATGAGTTTCCAACTCCGCATGTTTCCAGTCGGACAGTAGGCTTGCTGGGGATGCGAGAGCTTCCTCCAGACGGTAGGGGTTGGCAGGGTTCACAGACGCGACGTCATAGACTGTTGTGTTGCATGTACGGACCCCCCCCCCCTCCATTTCAATGATGTCGTCTGCTCGGAGGTGCGTGTCGTCTGCTTGCGCAGGGCTTTGTGGCCGTGCTGCTCCAAACATTGAGATTTGGGGGAGGGGGATGTGCCGCGGTGGCCTTGTCGGCGTGCCGGTGTCACAGCAGTACAACCGTTTCTGATGGTCAGGTTCTTGTCCGTTCGGAGGTCAGTGGCTTAAAATCTGGTCTTGTTCCAGCTACCCTCCCAATGCGTAGTTTCTGGGGACACATGGTGGTTCCCCCTCTGTATCGAGAAGGTCGGCGGATGCTACGGATTTTGAGAAATGCACTTAACTGCGGGACCCCCCCATTGCAAAACGGGGTTGCATCTTCATCTCCGTCAAATCTGTTGCTCTTTAAGTCAGTTCCATCATGTAATCGGAGTCTGGGATTGCTTCATGGTTGCTTGTCTCTTTTGGAACTTGCAGACTCGAGGTGCATGTTGCTGTCAAAAATCCACCTCTATGGCCTCAGCAGGCCTCAAGCGCCCGCAAGTGAAGCCTCGAAGGCCTTTGTGAAAGTGGTCAGCGCAGGCGGCTCCAAATGTGGGGTCGAATAGTCTGAGCAATTTTAGCTTCGCTTGAGTGGCCCCCCTCTGTACCCACCTGTTCACCACGCAAGGACACCGCATTCGTGCCCGCCGCGGTTAGCGCTTGGTTCTAGTCAACCCGTCCAACCGGTTGCTCCAATAACTTCCAAACTTTGTTGGTCTTAGATGCAGGTTTGACCAACGAGAATGATTAGCTGTGCGCTAACGATGAAATAAAGGGCAAACTCTTGGAGGAGCAGATGTAGAAGAGGTGGAAGGCTGTAACTAGCAGGTTCTTTAGCTTAGAAGCCCTGATCGAGCGCAGTGGGAAGGCCCTTGAAAGGGCTTCCAATGAAGTGGATTGTGGGCGAAACGGCATCACTGTCAAACGTAAGTTGCGACCTTCTGCACCAGTAAGGAGCTTTGCACTGGGTTGTCTTTCTGACATACGTCAGTCGGCTTTTGGAAGTGCTTGAGACCTGCTAAGCACATCGGACCTGTGCAGTTTGAACCCTTGAGCTGTGGGGTTGTGAGTTCGGTTTTGGCTTTGTCGTCTGTTTGAGTGGGTAGTACACTGGGTTGTGTCTCTCTGACAGACGTCAGTCGGCTTTAGGAAGTGCTCGAGCCCTACTCAAAACCTGCTGAGCACATCGGACCTGTGCAACTGCCTGCAACCCTTGTCAGTCTGAGCAGTAGGGTTGTAAGTTCGGTTTTGGCTTTGTTGTCTGTTTGAGTGGGTAGTGTGTAAGGCCGGCAGACTCGCTGTCTGTGGGTGGTTGAAAAGCACAAGAAGAGACCTGCTGTTGCCTCACACCTCTCTCAGTGAGTAGCTGTCAATCTATTACGGAGGCTCGCTCTTGCAACTTGCTGTCGAGGCCCAGGTCCTTGAGAAGGGGTGTAGTTCGCAGTCATGGTTCCTGTGTTCACTCAGGGTTGTTTTGACAGTTCTCATCCCGCTGCCCCGCTTGGGTTCAAGCATACACCACGCAACAGCTGCTTGCTTTTCAAAACTTTAGCTCAGCTTTTCTGCTTTGGCATGTGCTTCTAGCTTATGTTTTGAGCGGTCAGGACTGCTTTTCAGCAGCTTTAAGTGCAATAGCTTCAGCCTCTGCGGTGCATGGAAGACGAGCCTGCGCCTTACAGCCCGCAGCTTCGGGCAGTGCTTCAGGATCTGGACAGAGAGGTTCGACAGTTCGACCTCCGCTTATTGGAAGCGGGCCTGACCGACGACGTCAGAGGTCTCTGTGACAGATTATACGACCTGGAAGCTGAGAGTGCAGCCCAAAGAGCGGAGATATCCCGCTTGCACAGCAGATTGCACCGCTTGGAGGACCAGGTTCATCAGGGCCGCGGCTGGCTCCTCCACTTGTCTGACAGGACTACAGCTTTGGAGGACGCCACTCAAAAACTGGCCATTAAGGTCAGGTCACTTGTGACTCTTCTGCGAGAGACGCTTTCTGAGACGGTGGCCCGCCTTCGGATCTGGTTTTAACTATGTCCGCTTTTGGGGAGTCTTGTGGTGATGCTCCAGCTTTGCCGTCTAGCAGGGTGGCTACGGATATACTCCTGGCTGATTCTTCACCTTTCTGCTCTGCTGAAGAAGCTTTGGAGCTTAGGGATTCTTTTCGCAACCACTTTGCTGATTTTGCGGATCCAACAGACCCTAATCCACAGCCTCCAGCTCCAGCACCCACTTTTGAGGTTGCTGACTCGATGCAGAGGAAGCTTTTGAACCCAGGAGTAAGCTTCGACGCCGCTGGCTTCACCAAGCACATTGTGCCCCGGTGACTCCTCCCCTACCTATGGAAAACAGCCCAGGTGCATCCAGCGGTGATCAATCCTGGCAGCTTATAGAGCAGAACCAGCCGGTGCCCGAGAATGCATCCTTTCATGGGTGGCCTTCAGAAACTTCGACATTTCTGCTTATGCCATTGCAATCCACACCTCCTAGACCCAGCTTGCCTGCTACTCCGAAGGCACCCACTTGGCGGGCTCCCAGGGTGTGCTTGCGATACAATTCCCCTTTTCAGGTGGGGCGCAACGGGCGCCAGCCTACAGTTGCTCGGCTCCGCCCCTGCGCTCCCTTCCCCACTCCGCGGCAAGCCCCTAAAGCCGTGCCTGTGCAGCAGTCTACATCCCAGATCTTCCCGACAGCGAAGGCACTGCCGCACTTTCAGGACGCTTCAGCTTACGCGGTCTACCCCATGCAGCAGCCTTCTCCTGTTCAGGTATCGCTTTCCCTGGCAACGCCGAGACCAGTTCAGCCCTCAACAACAGCTTTGCGAGCACCTTCAGAGCTACACCCGCCTGCCTTTCGTGAGCCGATTGCCGGCTTGGTCACCAGCAAGGATAATCATCAGGCGTGCGATGAACGCAACAAGGTACTTTTCGACCAGCTTTGTGCATCGCATGGTGCCTACAGCGAGGTGCTGCAACAGCTTTCAGGGAGTCGCGAGGGCACAGTGATCAAGTCTCGGCTTCTCAGCAAGGTGAGTGACACCACGGCGGCCCGCTACCTTCGCTCAGTCCAGCTTTTCTTTTGTGCCTTTGAGGAGCTGGGTGGCAACATGGAGTCCATCGACCAAGGTCTCTTCCTTGATGCTTTCTTCGCTTTATCTCGAGGCTCCGAAACAGGCCCCCTTTCCAACAGCATCAACGTGCTCAAGGCGCTGCGCTGGTACAAGAAGCTTCTTTCACTTGCATGCCTCCCAGACCTGTATGGCACAGCTTTCAGTCTCCTCTCCAATCCGTCTGGCCAGGAGAAACGAGAGAGCATACCACTGCCGCTTTCTTTTGTGGCCTTCCTTGAGCGCACCCTGCTTTCAGGCACAGCCAGCTTGATGGACACCATCTGGGCGGGGTCGTTCTTGGTGGCAATCGGTGCGAGCCTCCGCTTCGCGGACGCCCAGCACGTCCGCTGGAGCTCACTTAGTGTGAGCCATTTCACTTTACGGGGAATATGCTACAGAACTAGGACCACCAAAGGCGGATGCCCCTTTGGTCTTCTCAGCTTCGGCCCCTTTTCGTCCTCTGAGGAATGGGGGCTGACTTGGCTCCCCCGCTGGTTGGGAGCATTGGACAAGGTTTGGTCCGACCTCCGCTCCCGCTTTGGGGCCCAGCCGGAACCAGATTGCATGTTTTTCCTCTTAAGTGATGCAGGCTTTGCTCCGGCCACTTATTCACAGGCCCTTCAGAAGTTGCGCCACTGGCTGACGCTTTCAGGGATAGAGCAGCACCAAGCTTCTCAATATACGCTTCACAGTTTGAAGACGACCTTCCTTTCGTGGATGTCTCAGCTTTCTATCCCACTGGCGTCCCGCTTTCTCCAGGGACATCATAAAACCCCTGGCTCTGCCCAGCTCTATTCACGGGACGACGTATGGCCAGCCCTGAGAGCGCAGCTTCTTTTGTGGCGGTCGATCCACTCCGGCTTCCGTCCTGCCAGGCCGCAACACCGAGGTGGACAATCACCGCTTGCCGAGCCCCCCTTCGAGACGGCGGGGTTCCAATGGGACGCCTTCATCCCGGCACTTAGATGTTTCTCGCTTGGCAGTGATTTCCAATCATTCCTCGCCCTGGAACAACAGGACGGCGAACTTCGCGAAGCCCGAGAGTCATGCTCAACGATTACACGGTCAGGCCCCAAACTTCCATCTTGTGTTCGCGCCCGGGCGCAGGTCGACCACTTCGAGGACTCCGATGCCGATGATGCAGGCCCGGCTCGCCCTTCAGCGATGGTCGTACCCACTTTGGAGGTCGACCCCACATGGCAAGATGCAAAGAGCGAGGGGCTTAGTGTGTCACATGAGGAGCAGCCGCTTGAAGCTCCATCTTTTCAAACTTCCCGCACAAACTGCAGGGAGGTGCGGTATCTGCTAGGAGCTTCCGGGGTGGCACACCTCAGCATTTCCCACCCCGGCTCCCGCATGACCTGCTTGGCGTGCAAGGATGCCCAATGCCAGGTTCGATGTCACCCCGCTTGTGGATGCATCTCAGAATTTTCCGCTTTTGTGCATTTTCCGCCTGAATCTCGCTTATGTAAGCGGCGGGCATGCATCATAGCGTCGTTGGAGGTAGCTTGATCGTCTGCCGAGAAATACAGCGATACATCTTGCACCTCTGGGTCATGACTTTGTGCTACAGCCTGTTTTTCGCGCTTGTGACATGCTATTCCATAAGCTCTTGCTCGAGATCAGCTTATGAAACATAATCCCGCTTTACTTCCAGCGTGGGTCATGGCCAAGTTGTCCCCCGACTACGTGTTCAGCCTCCTCAAAAGCATGAACGAGGCTGAGAGGGCCCACTTTTTGAAGCGAATGGAAGGAGACCCGCTTCTTCCTTCCACAACGCCGGCACCCGCTTTGGCAGCAGCACCTTCGGAGCAGCCTGCTTCGAGCACCGTGATCGACCCCATCGGGGACTCTATCGCTGCCGAAGATTACGGGCCACCGGCCGCTTCTACGTCTTCTCCCTCGCCTGCTGCACCCACTTTGGAGGCACCAGCGGAGCCTAAAGCAGCCACCGGTGGCGAGAGCGCCCCCACGGGAGCCACTCCAGCTGCTCAGGGAGAAGAGGCCAACGCCGAGGCCACAGGTGACGGGGTCACAAACGCCAAACGCTGGCAACGTGAACCCGAGGTCAAGGAACCGCCGCCGCGACCTCCTTCGTCGCCCGCTTTGGCGTCGAACACCCCGAAGGCCGGGGTACCGCTGCTGAAGTCGAAGAGCATGGCTACGCCCGCTCCACCCGCTTCGGTGGTCACTACACCCCCGGCGGCTACACCCAGCGCCCCTCCCGCTTCCAAGGCCCCGCCACCGCCGCTTGTGGAGGAGGGCACCACGGGCGGAAGCTCGGGAAACACAGGGCAACAGCCGCCCGCTTCAACACCACAGCGCGAGATAGCCCCGCTTCTCGCCAGTGACGCCCCTGCCTCCCGCTTGGGACACACTATCTATGATAGCGAAGGCCGGGCCACTTTGCAGCTGGTTCAATTGTGGGCATGCCGCCGCCAGTGTTCCCAATGCGCTCAGGGACACTGTCAGGCGACATTCAGCGACAGATCCAACAGCTTCCACGTGAACCACTTATGCAGAGACTGCAAACGCTCTCGTGGGCGTGAGCGCCAGGAGGCCACTTCGCAGTGGAACCACGGCCAAGATGAGTGGGGCCAGAGCCAGACCGCTTGGGAGGACTCGCCCGCGTGGAGCTCCTGGAACTGGTCTGGACGGGCATGGCAGCATCAGTGAAATCCACGCTGCCCCCCACTTTTCAAGCTTCGGCACTGAATCGCCCACTTTTGGGTCGACCCAATTTGTACACGGGCGACCCCGCTGGGCTTGTGAGCCCGCTGGAGCTCGGCTTTCGTAAGCCAGTCATCTCGAGCACCGCTTCCCGCTTGGAAAATAGGCGGCAAGCTATGACAATTGCATCGAAGTATGCCTCCGCTTTTGATTCGCTCAGAAACATGAAATCACTTGTCTCCCCCGCTTGGGTCAAGCACAGCTCCCTCCCGCTCGGGGGCCTCTCTCGCTGCCTCGCGACAGGCCACAGGTACACATTCGAAGCCTCTAACTTTTGTTGTGTGCCTCGCAGGACGATCATCTCCGAGGCCCACGCCTGAGAGTTCTTCACACCCCGCTTTACATCAGACACTCATCCCGCTCAGGTCTCTCGACATGTCCGACTTCTCGCAGTTCGTATCGGACTGCAACGTACCTCCCGCGGTGGCCTCTCTTCTTTCGGAGTTTGACACCGCTTTGTACGCACGTGCTTGCACAACTTCCTCCGAGCTAGAGGAATTGATCACCCACTTCATGACCGAAGCCGCGGTGACAGAAGCAGCGGAACGCTTTATCACTAAGGCGTCGTTACGCCTGCTTTTCTCCAAATGCCGGCAGGCGGAGGGCATGGCATCCCTAGAAGCCACGCCCAGTTCTGCTCTCCCGCTTGGAGAAGCGCCTTCAACAGCTGTGCCAACCGCTCCGGCCGCAGTTCCGCTTTCCAGCTCATGGCAGGAGGCTTGGCCGGCAAAACTCAGCGGCGAACGCACTGCAGCGCTTAGGAAAAGGTTCGAGGAGGATTACCCCACTGAACTCCTCGATGCCGAGAGCTTTCCGAGCGCCCGCTTGTTGGCCCTTACCAATAAGATGCTTTCAGAAAAGGAAGTGCGATGGATTCCCTGGAAGTACCGCTTAAGTGCAAGGGCGCAAGAGGACAGCTTGCTTATCAGGCCGAAGAAACAGGCCCGCTTTGACATCGCGGAGTTCTTCTTCGACGAGGCTCCAACCCGGGATATACATGAAGGCCCCGCCTCCTTCAGCTTCGTGACACAGCTTCTCTCACTTGCTGCGAATGCGATCGCTTTATGCCAGGGGGCACACCTAGGCTCCCTGAAACTCTACAACAAAAAATTCACCCGCATTTGCTTCACCAAATACGAGGCCTCCGCCAACCTACGGGGCCCCACTACGATGGAAGCCCAGGCAGCTGATCGCCGATGTTGGGAAATCATCGCCGACTTAGTCAATGTGCATCATTGGAAGCTAGATGATGCGCTTCACGAAGTGGCGGAGGTGCGCTCTGATTTGCACAGCTTACTTGCGCCCAGGCCATTCGTGCCCAAACCCAAGCACGACCCGGACAACAGCTGGAAGGCCGGCGCCAAAGGCAACGGTCGTGGAGGCAAAGGCGGGGGCCGTGGCGGCAAAGGCCGCGATGGCAAAGGCGAGAAGGGAGAACGCTTCGAGCGAGGCGGCAAAGGTGGCAAAGGCAAGGACAACAAGCAGGCGACGCCTCCCGGAAAATGGCTTTCAACCATCTTCATGGTTGGCAAGCGCCAGACTCTTTGCATGCGCTACCAGAGCGGTCAGTGCAAGGACCCAGCCACGTGCCGCTATGTGCACAGATGCGCAGTGCCCAAGAGTGACGGCACCGCTTGCGGGGGTAATCACCCAGCCTCTCAGCACGTGGCTACCCCGCGCTAGGAAACCCACTTCAGCGACCAGCGGGACATCGCTGAGGAGGTCACAGTTGTCCCGCTTTCAGTGCCTGCTCAACCTTCAGGTTCAGCAGGTGCAACTTCGGCACTGCCCAAGGCTGGTGCCCCAGTATCCATTGCATCTTTGGCAATCAGTGAAGGCTCCCTCGACTTCGCTACCTGCTTGGAGCTTTTAGCGCAGTACTTTTCCATTCCCTTCATTGATGCCGCAGGCCCCACTGACAATGCCATTGACGCTTCCGGAGCATATTTCAACCTGGGAGCTTTCTCCTTTGACAACGGCACCAGGTCGGGGATATTTCAGCGCACTGAACAATTTTCCGATGTACTTCGTTTCTTGAACGCTTTCATGCAGCTTCAGTTCCCGGGTGCCCCTTGGAGCTCCTTGTGCGTGAGTCACAACGTTCGTACTCGCTTACACACGGATGCTGGCAACGCTTCAGGAACACTCAATCACACAGTTTCACTCGGCAATTTCAGCGGAGGGGAGATCTGGATTAGCCCAGCTTTGGACCCGTCTGCTGCCAACATCCCGGCCCCATTGGAGGCCTCATCCGAGGCCCACAGAGCGGAAGATGCAAGCAAAGGTGAATTGCGCGACACCTGGCATTCACCGCTTTCCTTTAGCTGTGAATCCCTCCATTGTACGATGCCAATCCAAGGAGACAGGTGGGTATTGACTGCCTACACTTGCAGGAACCTGCACAGCTTCGACATGAAGTCGCTTGCCCATTTAAGGTCACTGGGGTTCCCATTGCCTCCAGTACCTACAACACTTCCTCAGGCTGTACCCTCTGCACCGAAGGACAACACGCACGTCGAGATCTTCTTAGATATCTGCTGTGGTGCCTCTCACCCACTTACCACGGCGATCTCATCATGTGGCATCATATGTTTGCCCATTGATCTGCTTGGTGAGGAGCAGCTGGACCTCTTGCACGACGACACGTACGATCACCTCCTTCGGTTATGCTTCTCAGGCATTGTACGTTTTGCTCATGGATCTCCGCCATGCAAAGAGTACTCCCGCTTGAAGCTACGACCCGGGGGACCTGCTGCTATCCGATCCCCGGAACATCTCAACGGGTTGCCGGGCAATACAGCTTCACAGCAGGAACGCGTGGTAAGCAGCCAGAAGCTTCTGTATCGCTGTGTATGCCTGCTTCGGGCCGCTTTCAATTCAGGTGCACATGTATCTCTGGAACAACCCACGAACGCGATGTCTTGGCTTGAACCATTCGTACAGGACATGCTTGCTGAGATACAGGCTTCACTGGTCAACATCCCGGCATGCTCAGTTGGCCAGGACATAGCCAAATCTTGGCTTTTTGCATGCAGCTTCGATGATATGCAAGCCTTGGCAGGTACATGCTCTCATTCAGAAGGTCATCCTTCTGTGGCCGGCGTCAGGGACGAGCTTGGCAACTTTTTGTCACAGCGCACCGCAGAGTACCCCGCCCAGCTAGCAAACCGCTTTGCTCAGCAGGCGGCTCAACTTTTCTCGTCACGCCGGCCCTCCCACAGTGTTCCAAGTTGTTCTTTGGCTTTCGCACTCTCTTCAATCCCCAAGAAGCCCCGGGCAGCGACCACTACAGCATCACAGGATGGCGGTGGCATCTACTCCTTGCCGGACTGGTCAATGGGCCCCAGATACCAGTCTGACAGCTTGCACGCTTTGCGCAAAGAATGGCAGTCCTGGCTCCTCTCGCACAGGATACCACTTCGCCTTCAGCAACATGTCGCAGCAGGCAGTAACAGCCCACTTTTCTCGGAAGAGGAAACATCGTGGCTGCGTGGATCCTTTAAACGCTTTTCGGACGCTCACTCCCCAGCTCAGGATTGGGATTTTTCTGTTAAGGAAGGTCAACCATACTGCCTGTCGGCACTTGAGCGTTTGAGCACCCTCTTGGGGGACAAAGACACAACTTTATTTCCCGCTTTGCAGAAGGGGGTCCCCACGGGCTTTGATGGGGATATCCCTCGCAGCCACACCCTACGTCCCCGCAGTGCAGATGAAACGGAAAGCTCCGCAGATCTACTTATCTGCGAAGGCAACTGGCAAGGAGCCGAGGCGGATCCTGCCCTGCTTCAGGAGCTTATTGAAGAAGAGGTGTCCTCCGGCTACATCGAGGAAATGGAAAGTCTGGAGGCCGCTTACGAAAGGTGGGGAAAAGATCGTGTTGCAGTTGGTAAGGTCAACATCGTTAAAGCTCCAGGCCGCGCTCCCCGCTTGGTGATCGATAACAGCATTTGCAACACGAACCAAAACTGCAACGTTCCGGAGCAGTTCTCCCTACCGAGCCTCCAGGACATTGAGGCCGCTTTCCCGACGAGGGAGGACGAGGAGCCCGCTTCAGGCTTCAGCTTAGATGTCAAGGGAGCGCACAAAACCTCACTTGTGCGGGAGCAAGACAGAGGCCTGCTTGGCCTCAGACAGCAGGACCGCCTCTTCTTTTACCGTGTCTGTCCCTTCGGGGCCACTTTTTCAAGCCACTGGTTTGCCCGCTTGGGAGGCTTCTTTGTGCGATGCTTACATCTACTTATCTGGCTGGCCCACGTACTGATGTTGTACGTAGATGATCTGCTTCTTTGGCAAAACGCCCGTGCACTTCCCCTCAGCGCCTCTTTGGTTTTGGCTTTCTGTTCATGCTTCAACATACCGCTTAGCTGGCGCAAACTGCAGATGGGCCCCTCTATAACCTGGATAGGGTGGCAGCTCGATTTCCACGCTGGCTGTTTTACACTTCCTGAGATAAAACGCTTGAAGCTGCTTTCGCAGGTGGAAGACTGCCTGAGGCATCGACTTGTCACCCGCAAACAACTGGACAAACTGCTTGGCCTACTCCAGTGGATCTTGCACGGGCTTCCCGCTTTGCGCCCATGGCTGTGCACACTGTACGATGACATGCACAGACCACTTGGTACAAATGTAAGCATCAGCCCATGCTCCTGGCCAGGTATCCACACATACTTGGACGACAAGCTGCGCTTCACTGGGACACCGCCGGGCACCAGCATTTCTGAGGGGTCCACTTTGCTTTCAGCCCGGCACAAAACTCTACACAGCAAGAATGATCTCGCTTTGGTCCCGGTAAGCACAAAACGCATGTGGCTTCGTGTTACAGACCCCACTTCTTCGAAGCGACGCCTTTCGGAGGCCAGCAGAGAAACACTTTCCTTCTTTGCCCACTTGAGCTCCAGGGAATGGCGTCCTCGACCACTCCGACCACCACCTACCAGTTCGGTGGAGTCAGCGGCCGATGCATTCGGCAAGGGCAACGACTGTGGCGTTGGAGGTTGGCTAAGGCTCCCAGGCGGCAGACTGCTTTGGTTTGCCCATCGCTACACCGTGCAGGACTTTCTGGAGCTTGGTCTGCCCATGCAACCCGATGCCAACCTGGACATCTCCAGCTACGAGACGCTTGCACAATGTTATGTGCTTCTCGCTTTCTGGAAGGCCCATGGATCTGGTCGCTTGGCTTTGACATTACCAGCTTTGAGCGATAATAGTGGTGCTGAGTCGGTGTGTAACAAGCTTTACACCTCTAAAGTACCACTTAATCTTTTTGTCCGCAAGCTCTCCATGTGGAGCTCTATTACCGGTGTCACTTTGGACTGCAGCCACATCGCTGGCGAGAAGAACCACGATGCAGACCTGCTTTCGCGGTGGGACGGTTGCACGGCACTTCCTGACAAGTTCTTGCCATCAAACCGCATCGAGCTCTACCTTTCTGAGTTCTGGCAGATCCGCTTTCAGGTGAAACTCTTTCCAGCTGACACATTTTTGAAGTGGCAGCTTCCATCAGCCACCAGTTTGGGCCCGACAAACCGAGGCTCCAACAAGCGGAAGTAGCTATGCTTTCAGGCTTCCTCACCTCACTTCTCCACTTGGCTTCTAGAGCGTCTGCGAGGTTTCGGCTTGCCAGTTTCGTGCTCGGGCTTTTCGACTGCTCCGCTAACGCTCCAGCTCAGCTTTCTATCCGGAAGGTCAAAGACCCCGGACACTTTCAAAGACAGAGCAGTCGAGTTTCCGGCAAGCCGAAAGAAAAGGAGAGAAGTTCGAGTGAAGCCACTGTTGACTTTTACTTTCCGCTTTGCTTCGCAGTAGCCTCGTAGCCTTTTGGTGTTGCGTGGTGTAGAACTGTTCTGAACGGTTCCTGTGTTCACTCAGGGTTGTTTTGACAGTTCTCATCCCGCTGCCCCGCTTGGGTTCAAGCATACACCACGCAACAGCTGCTTGCTTTTCAAAACTTTCCCACCCGCCCACACCTGTTTGGGCAGCTTTTCAGCGCATGGAGCTTTTCAGTCATACAGCCCGCTAACGCTCTTCTACCTGCTTTATTCTTCAGCCCTTATTTCCATTCGCTTTGCTTTCGCTCTGCTAACCGATACGGGCTTTTCGACTGCTCCGCTAACGCTCCAGCTCAGCTTTCTATCCGGAAGGTCAAAGACCCCGGACACTTTCAAAGACAGAGCAGTCGAGTTTCCGGCAAGCCGAAAGAAAAGGAGAGAAGTTCGAGTGAAGCCACTGTTGACTTTTACTTTCCGCTTTGCTTCGCAGTAGCCTCGTAGCCTTTTGGTGTTGCGTGGTGTAGAACTGTTCTGAACTGTGCAATTCACAGTGTCTTGAGTGGTTTGCAAGCCCTTTGGCACGAAGTAACCTTGTGCCAATTTGACAGTCTGGAGGTTTGGTTCAACGCTTTTGCAACAAACCTGTGTGACTGTGGTGCTGCTTGAAGCTGCCGTGCCGCTGAACAGTGCACAAGAGCCACACGCCGGGCTCCCAGGTTTGCAGCTCAGGCTCCAACACACCCGCCGTGAAGTTGAGGAGCCAGGTTCCGCGTTAGCCGCAAAGGTAGGTCAGAGGCCAGGTCGCGCTGCCGCAACGTTTCGGGTAGCACAGGCCAAAAAGCAGGTATTGCTGGACTGCAAGCCGCAAAGCTTCTAAGCACGTTTTGCCGAGGGGCACTTGCGCTTTGCACAAGGGAGGATGTGCGTCAGCCAAAGGCTCCCAGGTTTGCCACTCAGGTCTAACACCTTGGATTGTTTGCTCTTTGCACAAGGGCAATGTGTCTCGGGGCCACAGACCAGTGCCCAGGTTTGCATCTCCTAGCCCTCATCCGCCGCGGTGGTTAGGCGTTCACTTTCACGCTCGCCGCAGAGGTAGGTTATGAGGGTTACGAGTTGCCGCAGGTCTGCAGGTTAGCCGTCAGGCCGCGAAGGGTCGAAGGTACGTTGGAGGTCAAGCCGCGCTGCCGCAAAGGTTGGGGCCACACACACAAGAGGCAGGTTTGGCTGGACTGTGAGCCGCCACGCTTCTCAGATGGTTTTGTGGAAAGCTCCCGCGCTTTGTAAAGGTTTGGTGCCCGTCCCTACCCTTGGCTATGCCCTTCTAAAAATTGAGGCCGCTGCGCGGGGCTTAGTTAAGATTTAGGGCAGGTTCCCAACCCCCTTACGCTGAAGCGGTTGTCCTTGGTATACCAAAGGGTGGGGGATCCCAAAACCTGCAGAGGGGGAGTCATAGCCAAAAGCCTGAGATCCCAGTTGGGAGGCCAACACTCGCCAAGCGAGCTTCGGGGGGGGCTTGCTTGTGCAGTTGTGGGTTTGGTTGTGCCTGTTTTGGAAAGGTTTTCTGTACTTGGGGGACGAGACTCACGCAGTCAATGCTCGGCGTGGTGGCCCGCCGGTATTGCCACCCTTGTCACCTGCTCAGTCGCCTGTGCAGCATGATCGGGCGCCCTGTGCCTTCGCAGTTTCTCCAAAGGTTCGAAGGCCCAACCTTGTCACTCGACGCAGAGGTAGGTCAGGAGGGCTTGTTCTTGCACGCAGGTAGGTTGGAGGTCAGGTCGCGCTGCCGCAAAGGTTAGGGCCGCACAGGTCAAAAGGCAGGTCTTGCTGTGCTGCACGCGGCAGTCGACATACGTCGACGGCCCAGTTCAGGTTTATCGGTGTCTCCCGTGCAGACTCTGCCGGATGGTCCAGGTCCGACGATGTCGCTGCCTGCCTGCCTGCGCCAGAACATGGCCAAGAGGTACCGCAAAGCTTCCAACACCATCGAGACTGGATTGTGAAATACTTTCGTGACCCAGCAGGATGGAAATAAGGTTTTGCCGAGAGCTTTTGCGTTTTGTAGGGGTTGGGTACCCGTCCCACCTTTTGGCTGAGCCCTTCTAAAAATTTAGGCCGCTGCACAGGGTTAGTTAAGATTTAGGGCATGTTCCTAACCCCCTTAAGCTGAAGCGGTTGTGCTTGGTATAGCCAAAGGGTGAAAAAACCTGCAGAGGGGGAGTCATAGCCAAAAGCCTGAGATCCCAGTTGGGAGGCCAACACTCGCCAAGCGAGCTTCGGGGGGGGCTTGCTTGTGCAGTTGAGGGTTTGGTTGTGCCTGTTTTGGAAAGGTTTTCTGTACTTGGGTGACGAAACTCACGCAGTCAACGCTCGGCGTGGTGGCCTGCCGGTAAAGCCACCCTTGTCACCTGTTCAGTCTGCCTATGCCGCCGCCATCTGCGTTTGAGCGCACACGCACTGTGAACATGCCTTACACGTCTCGCCTTACAGCCAGCTGTAGAAGAGGCAGGTCTTGCTGTGCTGCACGCCGCAAAGTTTCCAACACCATCGTGGCTGGATTGCGAAATACCATCGCTACCCAGCTGGATGGAAATAAGGTTTTGCCGAGAGCTTTGGCGCTCTGTAGGGGTTGGGCACCCGTCCCTGACTCGCCAAGAGAGCTTCTGGGGGGGGGGCTTGCTTGTGCGGTTGCGGGGTTGGTTGTGCCCGCTTTGGAACGGTTCTCTGTGCTTGGGTGACGAGACTCACGCAGTCAACGCTCGGCGTGGTGGCCTGCCGGTAACGCCACCCTTGTCACCTGCTCAGTTGCCTGTGCAGCATGATCGGGCGCCCTGTGCCTTCGCAGTTTCTCCAAAGGTTCGAAGGCCAAACCTTTTCACTCGACGCAGAGGTAGGTCAGGAGGGCTTGTTCTTGCACGCAGGTAGGTTGGAGGTCAGGTCGCGCTGCCGCAAAGGTTAGGGCCGCACAGGTCAAGAGGCAGGTCTTGCTGTGCTGCACGCGGCAGTCGACATACGTCGACGGCCCAGTTCAGGTTTATCAGTGTCTCCCGTGCAGACTCTGCCGGATGGTCCAGGTCCGACGATGTCGCTGCCTGCCTGCCTGCGCCAGAACATGGCCAAGAGGTACCGCAAAGCTTCCAACACCATCGAGACTGGATTGCGAAATACTTTCGTGACCCAGCAGGATGGAAATAAGGTTTTGCCGAGAGCTTTTGCGTTTTGTAGGGGTTTGGTACCCGTCCCACCCTTTGGCTGAGCCCTTCTAAAAATTTAGGCCGCTGCACAGGGTTAGTTAAGATTTAGGGCATGTTCCTAACCCCCTTAAGCTGAAGCGGTTGTGCTTGGTATAGCCAAAGGGTGAAAAAACCTGCAGAGGGGGAGTCATAGCCAAAAGCCTGAGATCCCAGCTGGGAGGCCAACACTCGCCAAGTGAGCTTCGGGGGGGGGGCTTGCTTGTGCAGTTGTGGGTTTGGTTGTGCCTGTTTTGGAAAGGTTTCCTGTACTTGGGTGACGAGACTCACGCAGTCAACGCTCGGCGTGGTGGCCTGCCGGTAAAGCCACCCTTGTCACCTGTACAGTCTGCCAATGCCGCCGCCATCTGCGTTTGAGCGCACACGCACTGTGAACATGCCTTCCACGTCTTGCCTTACAGCCAGCTGTAGAAGAGGCAGGTCTTGCTGTGCTGCACGCCGCAAAGTTTCCAACACCATCGTGGCTGGATTGCGAAATACCATCGCTACCCAGCTGGATGGAAATAAGGTTTTGCCGAGAGCTTTGGCGCTCTGTAGGGGTTGGGCACCCGTCCCTGACTCGCCAAGAGAGCTTCTGGGGGGGGGGGGGCTTGCTTGTGCGGTTGCGGGGTTGGTTGTGCCCGCTTTGGAACGGTTCTCTGTGCTTGGGTGACGAGACTCACGCAGTCAATGCTCGGCGTGGTGGCCCGCCGGTAAAGCCACCCTTGTCACCTGCTCAGTTGCTTGTGCAGCATGATCGGGCGCCCTGTGCCTTCGCAGTTTCTCCAAAGGTTCGAAGGCCAAACCTTTTCACTCGACGCAGAGGTAGGTCAGGAGGGCTTGTTCTTGCACGCAGGTAGGTTGGAGGTCAGGTCGCGCTGCCGCAAAGGTTAGGGCCGCACAGGTCAAGAGGCAGGTCTTGCTGTGCTGCACGCCGCAAAGCTTCCAACACCATCGAGACTGGATTGCGAAATACTTTCGTGACCCAGCAGGATGGAAATAAGGTTTTGCCGAGAGCTTTTGCGTTTTGTAGGGGTTGGGTACCCGTCCCACGCTTTGGCTGAGCCCTTCTAAAAATTTAGGCCGCTGCACAGGGTTAGTTAAGATTTAGGGCATGTTCCTAACCCCCTTAAGCTGAAGCGGTTGTGCTTGGTATAGCCAAAGGGTGGGGGACCCCAAACCAGCAGAGGGGGAGTCATAGCCAAAGCCTGAGATCCCAGCTGGGAGGCCAACACTCGCCAGGCGAGCTTCGGGGGGGGGGGTTGCTTGTGCAGTTGTGGGTTTGGTTGTGCCTGTTTTGGAAAGGTTTTCTGTACTTGGGTGACGAGACTCACGCAGTCAACGCTCGGCGTGGTGGCCTGCCGGTAAAGCCACCCTTGTCACCTGTTCAGTCTGCCTATGCCGCCGCCATCTGCGTTTGAGCGCACACGCACTGTGAACATGCCTTCCACATCTTGACAGCCAACTGTAGAAGAGGCATGTCTTGCTGTGCTGCACCCGCAAAGTTTCCAACACCATCGTGACTGGATTGCGAAATACCATCGCTACCCAGCTG